ATAATTAGCAGTAAGGAAGCAGAAAGCAGGACTGTAACAGTGGCAGCTGAAAGCTGCAACTAGAGCAGGGAGCTACAATCCTCATCCTCGCAGCCCGGTGGCCCCGCAAGGGGGCCGGTGGATTATCTGTCAGGTCGTCGATTTGGGCGCCCAATGCCCTCTAAACAGCGAGTGCTGGAACGGTGTTCCGCTGGTTTACGTGAGGGAGCCCGCTCGTAAACCGCAGGATGCAAAATGCGCGTTGCCGTGCCCGCGTGCCGTGCCGCGCCGCGCTTACATAATTTTAAGATGCGACAAGCGTGCCGTGCCATGCCGTGTCGCGCCTCGATTTTCGATTGACCAAAAGAGCCGTCCCGTGCCCACTTTACGTGCCGTGTTGTGCCAGGGTTCGGACTGCGGCAGAATCCGTGGCGTGCCATGCCCGCTTGCCGTGCGATGCCACGTCGCGCGGAAGATGTGCTCGCGTGCGGTGCCGCGCTGGAGTGTTAGAACTTAGGATGACATGGGCTGCGAGACATGTGCCGCCGGCTTGCCGTGGCGCACCTTGCCCGCATGCCGTGCCGTGCCGCGCCTTGGCTCTAGAATGCGAAAATGTGATGGGCCGTGCCCGCGTGTTGTGCCGGGCCTGCGTTCGAGAGTGCGAGACATGTGCCGTGCTTTGCCCGCGTGCCGTGCCGTGCCACGGCCAGGTGTCAGAATGCGGAAAATTTGTCGTGGTTGCGAGTCGTCCTTGGGGTCCTGGCCGTGCGTGATTTCCAGAATGCGACGGATGTGGCGTGCCGTGCTATGCCTGCGCGGCGTGCCGTGCTGTGCCGCGCCCGGTTCCAAACACATCCATTCTGGTGTTATCTCACCATGTGTGAGCGTGTGTGCCTTCATTCGGGGAAACGCAAGACCCGAGTAAGCCGGAACTCGGGTTTGCCGACGTTTTTTTGACGAGCGCGTCCTGGATTTTGACGGTCCAATTTTCGTGGGATTATTTGCAGCGGGAGCTCGCGTCAAATTTCAGATTGTGCTTCGTCATTTTTATGATGGCCCCGTCGGGCCAACCCGAGTCCCCCGTACTACCCCGTACCCGAGTCTTACGTCTCCCCGATTCATGCAGCGTCACTGTCGTTTCCGGTGCGTTGTAATCATGATGACGTCTGCAGCGGTTGTGATGCAAATTCCTGCGCAAAAGTTAGAGCGAAAGTCCAGGAGGTACAGAGTGAGTTCGGGCGGCATCTTGGTGGATGAAGAGGCGATGCGCACTATCGTGCCGCGCCGCTCGGAGCAGGCGAACCGACTCCGAGGTTCAATGCGCCTGTGGGCACAATAGTGCGAAAGCCGACGAAGAGCAAGAAGGAAATAATAGTACTGGGGGGGGGGGCCAGGAGTTGTGATCGATAGTGAGGCGGAAAGGAAGGGGAAGAGGTTAAGTACGATGGAGGAGGAGGGGCATGTGGAGGAGCAGGTAGCGGAGCGGCCCAAGGAATTTCGGAACCTGCTCTGTGCCAGCAACGGAAGGGAGTGCCGATATTGTCGCCGACCAGCATTGGTAGCGGAGCAAAGTCACACACAGACGATAAAAATGTTGTCGGCTGCGTTGAGGACGACGCACAGGATCGTCCGAAGTTTAGCCACAGGAGAGTGCATTTACTGGACGAGGGGTCGAACATGGGCGACGAGGGCGCGGCGGAGGAGGCAGAGGTGCAGGGTTCGCTGGCAAATAAGGAGGACGACGAGATCCTCAAGGAGGATACCGTGGAGAAGAGCGAGACGCTCGACGTGATCGCGACCTGCTCCAAGAACCCTAGGACGTGGAAGGAGGCGCGCGCGGCCATCAACAACGAGAAACTGAGCCGGAATTTCGGCAACACCACGAGCCCGCTGGATGAGGTGAGGAAGCGCGCCGCGCGCTTCAACTGTCGCCACGAGTGGGGCAGCGTTCCGCGGAACAGCTCGGAACCGTGGAGAAACCCAATGGGCCCATCGTCGTCATCATCGACGGCGACGCCAGCTTGTTCGGTACGCTTCTGCTCAAAGTTCTCGTTGGCGCGACATCGCGCACCCTGGGGCCTGACCCAGGCAGTGCTGGAAAAAGATCGCTGGAAGCAGCTGGCGAAGGAGAGTCCGCACCCGCTGGATGAGGAGTTGTCAGATGAGGCGACGGACAAGACGGTGAACTTCACGATCGACGAAGGCCAGAAGGGGGCGTCGACAGCGGGCGCGCGAAGGGAATCGTCAAGGACGAGTCGCTGGAGGCACGCAATCAGAGATGGCGCGACGCGGGAGGCATCAAGGAAGACTCCGCGCACGTGTCGGGCACCACTGCGGAAGTGCTCTGCTTCGGCACAGCGACATGCAGATGTCGAATCGCAATGCCTAGATGTCGCAGTAGATTGGCGAGGTGTTGCGCCGAGCATGCGTGCGCATCGTGCCTGGGGCGACGCCGCTGCTGCTGTCCAAGAGATGGCTCGGGACATGGGAGGACGCTTGGATTTTGAAAAGGGCCAGATGACGCTCGCGGCGATTGGGAAGGCGGCGGGGCCCACCGCGAGCGCCGGGGACGATGACGGCCACTTCGCCGGAT